CAATTTGTCGTGGAAAATGATGACAGAAATTTATTGCAATTTTCGGTGCATTTCATTGTGTAAAATGTTTATCAACTTCGAATTGAGTTTAAAAAAAAATACCTTGATGATTTTTCGCATTTTAATCTAGGGCACACTAAACCTTAATTTAACGCCAATTTTAGCTGCCCGAATTTGCCCGAGACAGAGAAAATGATCAAAATCATTATTGCAATTACTGATACCTGCTCCGAATTACAATCGGAATTAATCTATTTTATATTTTAATTAATAAGGAATATAATTTTCTTCCCGAACACCCATATACTCGAAATGATCGCTACGATATTTCAGACATTTCCTCTAAGCCAATAAAAAAACTTTTCGAACAAAAATTACACAGCAATCACTTGACAAGAAATTGCAATAGTAGAAATTAGCGACACAATTTTTATGCAACAAAAAATCAAGGTCGATTCAATGTTTTTTAACAAAAATTTATAATTTTTGTGCGTCACTCGATGCATCTTTGTATTCTCTTTAAAAAAGTGGAAGAGGTCTTAGGTCGAAAATTGACTAGTTTAGAGGCTATGACTTTTGTTCTGAATTCCCATTTACGCGGAGGCGCAATAATTTCCATTCTACCCAGGTAGTTCCAAGTACCGAAATTTTTCCGGGCTTTTAATAATTTCTAACGAAGGAACTCCTATTGTTTCGGGGTAGAAAAGGTTCGTGTAACGCGGACACTTCATAAATGTCGGCGGCGGAGAACTCGGTCGGACAAGAGCGGCTTGGAAAATTTATGCTGGCCCCCCGAAGATTTATGGGAAAGCAAATCACTTTTGTGGATGTCAGCGGCGCGGGAAGAATCTATTAAGCGCGGTTCGTACGTTCGAGGCTCGATGATTTATCATCCGGTCTCTATTAAATTCAGCTGCATTTGCATGCGGCGATGAAAACAGACCGAAACCGCGCGAAAGTACAAGTGTCGTGGAGCGGGAACGCGAAGCTTTCGGATAAAGATTATACCGAAATGAACGTGGAACGAGAAATAGGGCGACTCCGAATTCTTCATTGTCGCGCTTACAAAAGTTATTGGTCTCCGTGGTCCAGTTAAGCGTATTGTTCCCCACCGTCGATAATTATATGAATAAATTCCCTCTCTGGCTCTGTGCCTTCGATGTTTCATTACGTAGAATATTGCATTCTTGTCAATTTGGAAAAGATTCTTGTCTTTGTATTATTATTTGATAATGTTTTGAGTATCGTGTGTATAATTTTCGTGGTTGGTATTTTTAATTTTTCAGAAACCGTGCGAGGCAATATATTAAACATGTACAGTTATTCTCACTCGTATTCGCTGTAAATGAAAAATAGCTTATTTCTTACGAACTGAGTTTCTGAAACTGGTGCAAGTTCGAAAACTCAGTTCAGAAAAAACAAGCTTTTCTTTATTTACAGTGAATGACCATTATGGAGCACGAATACGAGTGGAAATACGAAGAGAAAAATAAGGAAATATGTAATATAGTTTCTGACCGGTGTCTGAACACGTCGGCTCCCAAAAGTACAAAAGGTCGATTTTTTCGATCCGAAAGAATAATTGGAAAACTTTGATTTAATCCTTTGACGTACGATTTAATTGCTAGTAATTTTCCAAACGTGTACTATTTCATTTCGTTTAAATTTGTTACGAATATTTTGCAAATGTAATAATATAATAGTGTTAATTATAATATATTAGACTTCATCAAGGGTGTAGCCATAAAGCATAAATAGCACATAAAGTGTTAACGAGTCAGACTTGACTTGAAATAAATGATAGGTTAACGAACAACACTTTGACTTTGAAATAAATATAAAATGAATCTAAATAGCAAATGTTGGATGTTTAGAAAACGAAATTCGGAGAGTTTAAACTGTTAGGAATATTCCATGGAAAGATGGCGAGATGCGTCGTGCGTCACTGACGCTTCCCCGAGCAGCTATAATTTGAAATGGCGAAACGCTACCCTTCGGCTGCGGGGTATTTGGCGGTTTCTCCAGATTCCATTGGCCGTCCCAGTACGACGGCCAGTCGGCCTAGTTCGCATTTGGCTTCCTCCTCCTCTGAGAAAGGGAAGTATTTCTGTTCCCTGCTAGGGATAGATGCTTACCCCGAAGCCAGCCAAGTTTAGGAAACACTATGCCACTTAGCATCGGTTTCGTGATTTAAAAAGGACACGCGATATCGTCTTCCCCTTCGCGGAAAGATGATTCGTAGTCCTTTCGTCGAAGTTTCCTCTTTTGAGGACGGCGTTTCAACGATCGTTACGTTAAATATTTATTAAAATTGTAGCGTACGAAGTATTTTATCCAGGTAATTGGATCCTATATTTTTATCGAAGTTAAGCATGATTGCGTATCTTTAGGCAAATTCATATTTTTATTAATAGAAATGGAAGCTTTGCAGAGAGTTTCCTCAAGTTCTAAATATAATAATTCGTATCTTGCTTGAAGTATTTCTTATATGTATATTTACACGTTAAGTGCATTACGTAGTTTTTTTTTAAATTAAAATTTCCCATCAATGCATAAACAGCTGCAGTCTAGTGATTACATAAAACCAATTTATCCTCGCACTCGGGTCTCTGAATGATCCTCAAACAAAAATATTTGTCCATAATTTATATTCCACCAAGAAAAATCACAGTTTCATAACATTCCTAAGACTCTTGAGAATTTTTGCATTTACGGAACCTATCGACAATTCACAGGTACTGGATTCCCATACTTAAACTCACAAGGCTCGTAAAATATCAAGTTTTATCGATAAACATTGTAATCTAACCCTCAAGACTCGAGGCTTTCAATAAAAATGCGTGGAATCAATGTCCATAAATCTATCATTAAACTAGTACACAATTTTTATTTGGACCTTTCGTACGTATAAAAATGATTCGAGGAACCACCGCCTATCGGGAAGCTCCACAAAGTCCACAAAAGAACACGAACTCTATTAATTTTCGTCTGGTACCTGACTGGCCCGTGTCATCTCGCGTACGTTCATCCCCGACAGCATCGATCATTAAGCTCCTCTCCCGTCTTTTCCGTTCGCGTCGTCCCCGATCTTCTCCCCCATTATCCCGAAGTTGCGCGACAACGCGTTGATATCGGCCAGTCCCGGCCATTTCCGTTTTCGTTCGAACCTCCTGGCCCCGGCGCTTAGCCTTGCGCCACCCTCGGTCGCTCGTCTTTTTTTTTTTTTGTTCTCCTCCTCTCGTTTTGTTTCGTACTCCACTTCACATATTCATACGGCGCTCTTTGCTTACAATAAATGCGAACCATTTGCATGTAGGGAACAGGAACCCCTACTCCGCGCGCCTCCCTCCTTCGCCGATAGGTTGGGTGGCCCCGGTGTCTCCCTGGGGCGCTCGGTTCGGCCACCCCTCCACGGCTCGACTCCAGCGCGATAAGCCGCCCCCGGGGATCCGCGATTGTCTCGATTTATATGCATGCACAGACGTAGGTGGTGGGCCATGGCTGCTGCCTCCAACTGTGGTACACTGTCGTGCCGGAATGGGTTGGGGAAGACAAGGGTGCTGGGAGTGTGGGACGGATAGAGTAGATGCGACCGTCGATAGATCGATTCTCCGGCAGACAGTAAATATCGCTGATGAGCCGGTCCGGTCGTCGACGATTGGGACTTAGGGCCAGGGGGTTTCGAGGGGCTGGGGGTGGGGTGCTTATTCTGCGATTTGTCGAGTGGCAGGAATCCTCTCGCGCTATTCAGCGTCGACGTTGCCTCGATGCAGGGTGGTCCGCACACACACCCTCGAATCGCCAGTCTTTATCCAACGTTCGACCATTCTTTATACCCAGCGATTTTTGTTTTCACGGCTCTCCGCTGTCGGTCGTTTCGCGACTCCGGCCGGTTGCAGTGCCTTGGAAGGCTGGAGGGGGATTAACGCGGTGTTTCTTCTCTCGTTTTTTTTTTTCGCCCCGGGGAAATTATTGCGAACGAGGGACTTCCCGCGCGCGCGGAAACGAGCCCAAGCGATTATCCGATTTTATTCGGAAATGCTTTTTTAATGACCGTCCCGGGCGGCGGGTCCGTTTCATACCGGGTAGTAATTGCGAATTGGCGTGCGCGTTTGAGATAATCGACCGAGTAATTAATTTTTGGAGTCTGTTTCCGTGACGATTTCTGAGTCGGGCGCTCGGTAAGATTACGCTAGAGAATTTTTTCTTTTTTTTGGAGCGTTTGAAATCGTACGCAAAAGTTCGATGATTCTTAAAAGGAACACGTGATCCGTAAGATGAACGTTTGTATCTGTAGAAACCAGAGGGGTCCCCCTTGGAGCCCAACGAAGCGCGAAAGACGACACGAAACACGATACGAGCTGTGGCTTTTTTATCTCGTTCGCTCTCATTCGCTGTCCTTTCGTTTGGTTGTATAAATATCTGGTGTCGAATTTCATCTTTGTTGTGTATACGAAAGATGACAGTAGAAATTTTTGTGAGCTGCAAAAATAGACAGGTATTCTTTGGCCATTGCATTAAAGTGCATAATAATTTCAAAAACTAAACACTATGTAAAATCGAATGCGTGATAGTGTGGCTTAGAAATTTAAATGTTATAGAACATGTTAAGAATCAGTGTTGCCTGTGTATTATAATGGTGGGGGGAAACAGCACGATACAACAAAGTTCTTAAATTTGTAATTTTTACATTCTTTGAGAAGGGAGAAAATAATTTTATAGCTTCATGTTCACAGTACGTAGAATCGCTTCCCTTTTTGTTTATACTGCACCTACGTGGGCACGCAGTGTTTGAAAATGTGCTCTCTATGGAATTTTTTAATGAAATTAGAAGAAATAAAAATATTGGATTAACGATTTTAATTATGAAAAGGTGTCCAAATGAATTTTTACGAAAGTGGTCTCAGAAAGTTGTAGTTACAGATCTGTGTTATTATTTCGGACATAGTTCGTCGTAGACATTTCCGAGGTTCTCTAAACTACTGGTTCTCTGCTTGCAGGTATCCCTGTGCGACGATTATAGTCTGCCAGTGGACTTCGTGAACAAAAGACGTCCTGTGAGTGCTGTTACCGCAACTTCCACTGTACAGTGGGCGCTACCCAGTCCTACCGTCGAAAACGTAAGTATGAGTCGCTTCGATTCACGCTCGTTGAGGCGTGAATTATGGGAAATCTGTCCATTCGAACTTTGAACATAGGTATCACGATTCATTGTCTCGAGACAAACGTTCGTGAGACGTCGAGAAACGTGGCTCTTTTGAGCCTTGGCGCTCATAAATTGCGCTTCATTTATGTGACTGGGTTAGCTTTAACGACGGTACGTTAACTTTGACGGTTCGTATCTGGCGAGTAATTTTTGACATATACTATAAAAAAATATAGGTTCAAATTTGAATTATTGAAATTAACAGGGCTTCTCAAAGGTATCGTTAAACGAATCGTGATCCGACCTTCTCGACACGTTGTACCTTTCGTGGGGAAATGTCACTGTGTATATTTTTCAACGAAGTATTAAAATATAGATGAATGTAAAACGAATATTAAACGAGTAAAATTTATTTGGGGGAAATACAGATATCAAAAACATAGTCAAGGTATTTGTATTAGTAAATCACAATTTGACTCCATTTTGGCATATTTCACATATTTTCACGTCAAATTTCTCATCGTGACGATTCTTTTCATCGCAAAAAATTGTATAACCAACAATTCACCCATCGACCTCAACTTCATTAGTCAATATACCCAGTCCCGGAACATCATCCCTAATAATTTAATAATTATATAACGTATTCAAACCCTAAGTATAAGAATCGGTTTCGATATACGTCGAACCGTACATTTTCCGTGAAAAATTTCAATAAACGCTTTCGAATTAGAAGTTCCCTCGCGCGTCTCCGTAACGTGTCCCTAATCTTAATTCGACCGCGATTAGTATAACCCCTCGACATCGGCGCCGTTTGCCACAGCATCGGCTCCAGGACCCGTCCTGCCTGTTAACGACAGTATTGATATTTTCTCCTGGCTGGCGGCCGAAGAATCGGCTGAAGGGAGAAATATAATTACGGTGGTGACAAAATACCCCGTGGGCACGGTGGCGCGGAGGGTGCAGAAGGGGTAGAAGACCCGTTCCGCGGAACGAGCGAACGGAAGGACGAAGGGAAGCGTGCGAGCAGGGGGGACGAAAGGGGGCAACGACGAGGTGGGAGACCGGTGACTTCCGGCGGTGCTTATAATTGTTCCAGCACTCAGTTTCTGGTGCCTCGGATCGCCCCGGGCGCAACGCCTAAATGCTTCTGCAGTTGAAATACCAGCTCACCTTGACTATGTTTCCTGGTGTCCTCGAAAGCGCGGTTGGAAACGTCACACTTCGCGCATTTACCACGCTGCTGGCTCTCTTCTCGCGGTGACTCCGCAGTATTCCCGGAATCTAGGTTCATCTCGTCCCGGTTAGTAATTTTTCGCCGGCGGTAAATTAGGTCCGCTCAAGGCGGAACCGTCGCTGGAAATTCGAATATACAGGGTGTTCGGCCAAACCTGGGAAAAATTTTAATGGGAGATTCTAGAGGCCGAAATAAGACGAAAATCAAGGATACTAATTTGTCGATTAAGGCTTCTTTAAAAAGTTATAGAAACATTTCCGGCCCCACGGTATATTTTCGGTAAAGAATTTTTTTCTCGAAAGTGCGTAGGATTTCGGGGGTATGGGTATTTACCAAAAATGATTGTAATTGACTCCCTCAACCAAAAATAATTTTTCCAGAACGATTTGAAACTTTCTGTAATTTCAGTGAAACATGTCAACGTATGGTCAGACATTATATTTTCGGTACGGAGTTTTTTTCTCGAAAGTGCGTAGGATTTCGGGGGTATGCGTAATGACCAAAAATGATTGTAATTGACTCCCTCAATCAAAAATAATTTTTCCAGAACGATTTGAAACTTTCTGTAATTTCAGTGAAACATGCCAACGTATGGTCAGACATTATATTTTCGGTATGGAATTTTTTTCTCGAAAGTGCGTAGGAATGCGGGGGTATGTGTATTCACCAAAAATGGTTGTAATTGATCCCTGTAACTAAAAATAATTTTTTTAGAATGATTTAAAATTTTTTAATAACTTTTTAACGATGCCTCAATCAACAAATTGATATTCTTGATTTTCGTCTTATTTTGGCCTCTAGAATCTCCCATTAAAATTGTTCCCAACGAACACCCTGTATAATATACACGTATGAATCTAAAGCGAGGAATGGCAGCTCAGCCGATAGAAGCAATTAAATTTTTCTCGCGACGGCCACAGTGACCTGGTTTAATTATTTCAGATCCAAACTTATGCAAGCTTTCTCTAATTATTTCTTAGTATCGTTTAACCCCAAAACACTCATATTTTTCGGGTTGACCAAGAATGATCAATTTTCTTGTTTCTAAACTATATAAAAAAGCGATTTTTATTAATTACAATGTTGCATCTAACGTACAATTCTAAGGAGAACAAATATTGTCGTCAGGCTCGGGCATAAGCGTTAAGGGGTTGAAAGCTTCGTGGAACATTTAATTTCCATTCCGGCTTCATTTTGACTTTGTTCAATCGGCAGCAGGACGTATCGGTTGCAATTCGTCAAAGAAGAAAAAGATTATGGTAGTTGCAGGGAAAGTCGTAAAAAAGTGACGGAGGAAAGAAACGCGGAAGGGTGGGGTGGGACACCTGGGAGCATCGAACAAAAGTTTCCTTCGCCTCGTTGTCACCGACGAAAGTGCTCCTCGCAACAGCGTTGCTGAAGGGGGCGAGTAAGGGCGACAAAGAGAGGAAGCGGGTACCACTTGATTCAAGAGGGTGAATCGTTATGACTCTCGCTCGTAAGCCCTACTTAATACTTTGGCGCTTTATTTTATGCGTGAGGCCGGGGCACGGCTGTGGGTCGCATTTATCACTGTAACAAAGAGCCACGCTGCGACAAAGTTCGAGCGTGGGCGCGTGCGAGGACGCCTATAGCGTCGGAAATTCGCGACCTCGGTTCCTGAAAGTGAAACGAGGATTTATGGCCGCCTAAACAGGCCGGAGACTTCGCGGTATTTTTAATGAAGTAGTGTATTGCTCGATATTATACGATCGGTGATTACAAATATTTGATGGGTTAAATATGAACGTGTATGTGGAATATTTCTCGTCTGTACGGAGGAATTATATAACCGTAAAGATAAGTAAAATTAGAGTTGAAACGTATCTTATCATCGTATTGAGTAGTACAGTCTTTTATTTCTCAGTCTATTGAGATTGAAATCTGCTGTTTGGGAATTACAAATAAATCGACGACAAAAGTGTATGGCAGTATTCTAGGGTTGGTCGAAGTATGCATTACATTAAGTTATTTGTACGATGTATTTCTGGGAGAAACATGTAAGATGAGTCTGTACAGTATAAAATAATTTTTGTTTACGCAGTATTGAAGAAATTGACTAAATTCATTTGACTAGTAATAATATACTCAGAATATTAATAATGCGTGAAAAACTAAGGAATTTAAGATCGTTAAATCGTGTTAAAACAGCTACAATTATTCTAAATAAATAGGCTTCTGCATTTTTGTATTCTGCAGAAGACGTGCTTTCGATTTTCTTAGGAAATGTTATTTTATACAACAAAAGGAAACATCGAGGCGCGTGTAAAATTTTATTAAAGCTCTGTATTGATCCACCGGGGAAATTTATTTTCTGATCGGTCACCTTTTCACCTTAAAAAGTTTGCCCCGAGGAATAGATCGCAGACATCGAAGACGAGAAACTGGTGAATGTATTAAATGAATTCTTTTTCAATTATTTAAAATATTTTGTAATTTTTTAACAAAAATGAACGCATAGAAAATTCTTGCAAAAATCATGTAGAAGTTTACGAATTCTCTGCTGTGCTCGGATCAATTTTTACACGAACGTAATGAGTTTGATAATTAGCGAGTCTTCCTAGGTTTTAATTTCAGTAGGGTGTTTCTCGAGAAAGTTATCATTACTGCAGGGCTAATTTTCGTATTCTCCGTTCTGCGTATCGTGTTTGGAGTATCGGGTGGATTCCCATCTCCCAAAGTTTGCAGTCTAAGCTCCCGTACCAGCGAAATTCGTCTGTTCTTAGGGGCGCGACATTATGCAAGAACACGAAATTTCTGAATGTCGCGAACGATGCCTCGTTTCTGACTCAGCACGTGAAACGTATTATAAGAACAGTCGAAGAACAGCCTGCCATTTATTGATTCCGTCGATTTCGTTTGCCCGCAAAAATGGCTACAATTTCGTCCATTATAAATTATAAAAAAAATTTACTTTGCTTAAAAAATGGTGATTTATTGGTTCGAAGAGCGGTCTTATTACTTATTGTATTGCATAATCAAAAACGACGTTTCAAACAATGTTCGTGGTTCTTGATTTAAATTAAGGACAAAAGGATGGACAAATTAAACGGATAAACGTTTGTAGGCATAATTAGAATAGGAAGAGTGAATCGAGAAAATTAAAAAAACGTAACGTATGAGTATTTCCAGTTCGAGAACGGAATTTTTCCTTCTTTGTTATCGTCGATGGAAGTCGATGTAAAATATTGGAGAGTATAAAAAAAATGTACTGTGTCAGGAATAAAATGACAAAAGATAAACTCTAACCCAGAGTGTAATACGATAAATAATGCTTTTAAAACCAACGAACCGTCGTTTCAAATTCAGTTTGTTAATCCGACGTGTAGATAGACTAGCAATGGTACAGCGTTTGCGGATTTTGTAGAGTGCAGTAATGCCACGAAATATCCTGACGGCACCATAGCGAAAGTCACGCGTGCGATAAACTAACGAGATTACGCAGCAGCCAATAATCGCGGTTAATTATAATGCAGCGGTCGAATAAACGGATTAAAGTCCGACAAACCGGGTAGGATTATTGGTGAAGTGTTAATAGTGTTGTTCTTGTTAACTAATGTAGCCAGTGACAAGGCCGTTTGATATTAACTGGGGAAGCTGATTAGTAGACAAATGTAAAGCGCGTCGTTCCGTATCAGATGTTCCGTATTAAATATCGGGGAAATCTGTTTATTTTTGCAGACAGTGTATTCAGTAAAATTGTTTTTTCTGTTAAAAAAAAATAATATCAGATTAATCCACAAGTTCGTTTCGTTTTGATCCTCCACGTTTTCTCATTACATTTTCGATCGAATCAATTTTTCATTGACGTTGATGATAACGTCTCATCAATCTTGATCTACGTAACCACTGTTTTATATATGTTACACTCATGGAAAACGTCGATATTCGTTAAATGGCCGATAATCGAGCAATTTTTCTTTATAATCGTGGAAATTACGTGGTAAAATTCATTTCCCGCGAAGAAATATTGCTTCAGATATATAGTATATCAATTGCGAAGCTAATTATCGAAATTCCATTAATTTCTATGCCACGTGGAAAAGAGAATTTCGGAACGTTCGTTCGTACTCGCCGTTAAATATTAAATACGAGCTGAAAATTTAATAATCAATCTCATTAATAACTTTCGTTGGCTATATTTGTTTCGTCGTGCGTAACCAAAAGATCAAGATAGAGGATTTCCTAGAAAAGGATAGATGAACTGTCAGACCAAACTCTGACAGACATAAGGAGAAATAGAGACGAGTGTTTATGGCGAATTAGATGTTTATTTTGGTATTCCACGATCGACGTTCCATCCGTCTGTCTTCTACTTCAACAGACGACTGACAACATCGATATCGCGCACACAAAAATATTTGAAAGATCAATACATGCTGCTCATCAATCTATGGATAATGACGTGTAATGAAATTGGTGAAATAGTACAAGAAAATTTTTTAAGTGCATTATTTCACATCCAAAATTACATGCACACAATATTTTTCTATTATATATAATAAATAAGAGGATTTTTTTCTGTGCAAAGGGGAAGGAAAAAAATAAAAAAAAAAATTTTATAACGAGCATTCATACAGCACCAAATTTTTAACTATGTTTTCCTAATAAAATTTTTGTGGAATTGGTAAAAGTAGTAACATTTTGTGCACCATCTTGCTTATCTATCGCTTAACGAAAACATTTTGGACCGGATTCATAACTAAAAGTTCTTATTACGATAGTCTGTTGTACAGCAGAAAAATTCGTCATCTTTGTCGATAAAGTGCAAAAGCTTGCGTCAAGTCGTTAAAAAGAAATCAGACGTCGCACCATACGGCGCGTTTCGCGGTAGTTTATGATTCCACAATCGCGCCATATGGCACGCTCCCCAGCCAAGGGGTTAAACAGGGTTTAATCGCGTTTGAGTACCAAGGTTTCAAGACCCATTTCTACTTTACACTTTCTCCAGACTCGAATACTTTCTATATTCTCTATATTCTATTTTGGATCACAATTCTTCCTATCCCCATTTATTGCACAACCTCTTTTGTCACGTTTCTTAACATTCATGGTTTCTAAACGCGTCTCATCGATCGTATGGCTCAAACGTTTGCAAACACGTGTCGATCTACCCTATTTTGGTGCCCGTCTCGATGCATCAGTCAACATCGTCGGTCTTCGCGACACACGGACAAGCGATACGGGCGTGTTTGCTCATCTAAGACGAATCCGTGGCACCGTCATCGGATTTGCAACAGCCGATCGAGCCGGTTTCCTGCGAACGGTCGTCCCGCTTCTTCGGTCTGAAACTCGCCCCCGTAATTTCCGTATAAACATCCACGAATTTATCTGTTCCAATGAGAGGAACGACGGAGGGGTGCACGGCGTTAGCCAGGAGGCAATCGCCTCCGTGTTCGAAACAGCCCCCGGGGGCACGACGCTCAACTTTGGCAGGAGAATTCCAATTTTGGGCTCTTTCAATTTAAGGCTACTTGTCTTCCTCGTCGTCTTCTCGTCCGTCTTCTGCCCCGAGACGTTGGCCTCCGTCTGCCGTCATTTCAATCCGTCTCTCCTTTTCTTTACCTTCGAGCCAACTCCTCGATTTGTGATACAACCCCCCGCGCCATGACGACGGACGGGGGTTACCGTCGCCATTGATCAGACGCCCGCGTTCCTACGCCTCTCTCCCTGTTGCGTTTCGTTTCCACGGCCTCTCGAGGCCCCAGGCCATCGTTATTACTTCTATTATCGTTATCGTCATTAATATCGAGGGTTACGCGAACCTTCGTTGGCGAAATTCAACGGTTTCCCTTCGATCGTCGCTCGAACGCGTCTTATTACCTGCTTCTTCGTCGCTGTTACGTCTGAGGGATGATTCTGTGGCGACAAATTATTAAATAACACAAGTTTCACATTTGCTCGAACAACGGAAGAAAAGGATGTATAAAAAGCAGAGGGTGGAAAGATTCTACTATCTACTAAATTTTTCAGAATCACAGCATTCCTGAGCGTCTCATTAACCCCTTGACGTATGATTTAATTCCAAATGATTCGTCAAACGTACACTATTTGATTTTATTTAAACTTGTTCGTACAAGGAATGGCCACGAAAGAGAATAGATTTGTTTTACGAATATCTCGTGAATGCATAAATGTGTCGATTTTAATATATAAGGGGTTAAACGCGAATCGCTTGTTAGGTTTTCTACTAAAAACCAAGTATAAAATTAATAATTTCCTGTTTATACAAAGATGCGATAGGACCTCGCATAAACACAGGGGAGATATTGGTCTCCAACGCCGCAGTTCGTCGACTCTCAGGTTTTTTCTGTACGATTGCAGTTTAGTTCTGTTGCAAAACTCATATAGAAAGGATGTCTCTTCTAACCGTAATAGAAATAAAGTGTAGCATTTATAGAAAGGAAATCTGAGTACTTTATTTAATAACCAATTTCTAAGAACGCTAACACCAACGTTCGATGCGTAGGTGGAACTTCAATTCTAGTAAAGCAATAATAAAAAGAACTCGTTGAAAGGAAGAAGAATTCTCAGTAAGTAGCCTCATGATTGTGAAGCTTGATTGCGTATCTTGATTAAGGAAGAAACTCGGAGACGAGTTTAAGCGATTTGTAGATTAATATTTCACTCGAACGTCGGATTTTAATTATCGTGCTTCAGCCAACGAACGAAGCAACCGAGACAGGAAACGATACGCGACGCGTATAAGGTCGTTTTCTCTGGAGGTAACGATCATTCGGGGTCTAAAAATGTTTATCCGTGCAGCCGTGGCCAAGGCATTACCGCAATTGGCTGCGTTCAGAGCTGGGAATTGCGTTGAGGTAACGTGTCGCGTGCTTAGTCGAAGAAACTCCCGCAATAACCCTTGCTGATGGCATCCAAGGGACGAAGCTGGACGTTGTTAGGCGCGCACGAGCGCCAAGCGGCCGACTCGCTGCCAAATTAGTATTGTTACCGTGTCAATAATTTGTACCGTCCACGCGGCTGTTGTTTGTTTTCCACTCGCACGAGTCTCATTTCCAAGTTCTTTTTCCATACGAGCCACGAGTTTACGAAAACATACCTTCGAGCCGAAAAATATGCCTCCGTTTATTGCCTCGCTCTCCAGGCATCTCACTTTTATTTACGAGAATTATCGATTTACAATTTACTCGAGGAACGAGAAATATTTGATACCGTAACTTTTTATTATTCTGTTTCGTGTTCAGGGGATGGAAATGTTTGGAAAACTAACGAGGAAATTGTGAGGATATCGTGGACCTGTTTGGAAAAGTCGGAAGAATTAATTTCGCGTTTAATCGCGTTTGGGTATCAATTTTTTGTCCATTTAGGCTCGCACTTTTCGTTGACGTCAGGCGTAATGTTTGCAATTCTCCTGGTAAACAATACGCGGCGTTCCGGAGGGCTTTTAGACGCAGGGCTTCCAGATCGTAACGGAAGGAAACAATTTCTGCTCTGTTTTCAGGCGGAAGTCGAAGTTGTGGAACAGTATAGCGACCCCAGGGATAGTAAGAACAAGGCGTACGTCGAACCAGGAGCGGATACGTCTTTGCCGACGATTTACAGCAAAGTAAATCGCAACTATTGCCGACCTTATACGGGTAAGTGGTACATAACTTTCGTAGTGTGTCACTGGCGCATGTGACTTGAGAGTAGTTTAGCCAGCACTTAGAATTCGCTGCGACGAGCCTCGATTCCATGAAGGTTACGTTAGAGCGAAAAGAGTCCGGCAATAGGATAGAAATGTTTATAAATCAAGAAAACTGTTCGCGTTGCGGAGACATTTTCCAGACACTCCGAAAGATTCGAACAATACGTTCATCCACGAAGTTCTTTTACCCATCTCCCGCGGCTCATAAATCTTTGTCACCTTCTCCGCTTACGGTAGATCTCCCGTCTGCAAAAATTACGTCCAACGAGAGCTTCATCCTTAATTAAGCCTTCGATTCAGTTCGTTTCAAAGGCTAGAGAATTTAATGAAAAATTGAGAGGAAATCCAAATTTGAAGGCTTGTGTCACGCGGATGCAATCGTAGTGACAAGCTCGGCGTAATGGAAATGATACAGATTCGATAAAAATAGCGAGTAATTAGCACGTTCTTCGTAATGTTGTTTGCAAAATATTTTAAACAATGCCCAAAAGGTAAATCAATATTGGACAGCAGCGATGAAACGTACCACCTCGTTAATGATACGTACATAATAATACGATATTAGAGGAATTTTTATACCAAACGTGAACACACGGTTGGCCAACGATAAATCACGATACATTTATGCAAATCCTAACACGCATAGAAGGGCAACGACTCGTATATTCCTAATGAACGGATTAAATTCATCGGGCTATCAAATAGTCAATTGGTCACGGTATTATAATAAATAAACGTTAACAGGACGGTTGTAAATCACAGGTTTAGCCTGGCGTCTGGATGATAGCCACCGCGCAATTTCTGGCTCTGCTTATCGATTGGCCCGCGTTCCTCTCTGCTCGACTTTCTGCCAACCGACCGTCGCGCTTCCTTTCCCTTCTGTTCCGTAATTCTTTCTCACCGAGTGGCTGATCGTATATAATGCGGCCGTGAGTAAATATCACGGTGCAGATGATTGCGCAAATGTCGGAGCCAAAGATTCACCCGAAAGTATTGATCGTTTCCGCAGCGGAACTGTTGTCGCGTGCACTGTCGCGATAGCAACAGTTATCGAAACTCGACTTATTAAAGGTAGTGTCACGGTATTCGCCGAGTTCAATCGATTGCGAGCGTACAAAACACTTTTCAAAACCCGCCAACAAAGAGCATCGACCGGCTGTAATATTCCAATTTTTGCGAACTGGTAAAATTCCTGGAAATACGTACGTTTCGTTTAATGGCACCATTTTATGGCTGGATGGGTGAAACCATGCTTCAAAGGTTCGAAAATAAATAAAGATAGGAAGAAGGAGGACCTAAAGATAGAGGTTGAAGCGTCAGTTCTTACGTTTGCATTTAAATTTAAATTGATTTTCAATTAAATAAACAACCTATAGTCCAGTTTTATCGTATACCGATCGTTTAATCAATAGGAATCGCTGAAACCTTTCTAGGTTTCACACTGAACTTACCGACACTTCGTGTATACCTATTCCTACTATTTTTCAATTAAATATCGAATTTATAATCGAGTTTTATTGCAGATCGGTCGTATAATCGATAGGAATCGCTAAAACATTTTTAGATACATAGTGTCAAAGTAAATGTTAAAATAAACATAGAAGACGGCATAAATAATAATAGTAGTTATGCTCATCGGGTAGGGGGTGAATAGCCCTTTAAAATGAGCGTTCGAACGAGTAGATAGCTCAATTAGTTCCGGAGATATGACGTTTTTAGTTTCAAGTCGATGCGGTGGCTAGTTCCGGAGATATAAGGGTCCGAAGCTTTGTTTACGTTCGTTGGGATGAATGAACTCGCGCGCGTGAGAACAGTAAACAGTGCGTAGTAAATTCTTGGAAATACTACGCCGAAACTAGGTCACTCGGTCTCGACTCACGTGCGACAAAGAGGTACGACGCGATGCGTCAGACGGAGACAGAGATAGTCAAATTAAGAAAAAATACCACTTTACATAAATTACGATATCTCGAAAACGGAAAGTCGGATCAACAAAAACCAAAAATCGTCTTAAAGGGGAAGCTTCACCGCTGCCAACAGTGGCTCAATAATGGTTAAAACACTAGTAGTTTCGGAACTGTACGCGTCTAAATTTTCAGTATTTTTAATACGCGTTAATAGGTTTTTATAAGACGGAGAGTAGAATTAAAAAAATTACCCTTTTATATAAATTGCAATATTTCCAAAACGAGTGTGGAAAGTGCCATTACAATTTAAATAATATTCTCCTTCGAACAATTTCACACACTATAAAACAGCAACAACGAACTTGCACGCTGTTTATAATTTTATGTTATATTAAAGGATTAATGGCTAACAGAACATTTCTCGATAAGAATTTTGCGAGTACAACCATGTCCTTGGTGCATTGATTAATTTCGTGGTTCGAAGTATAAAATTCGAAAAGATAAAAATTAGCGCCTCTGCCAGGCAATACAGGTAGACTCGTTAGTGACTCTGACTCAGCAAGCCTTACCTTAGAAACATCTAGATTTCGATCGACTTTGGCTTTAAAGTACTTAAGGTAAGACTTCATTAGCAAGCTAACGATCTTGTCGACGGTCATCTAGTGACGGATATAGGAGACGGAAAAATTTGCCCACAATTTGGAGGAAAAATATATCCCTGGCAGTTCGTATGCATGATTCACCATCAGAAAGTATTATTGTCTCCTTAATGTTTTAAGGGAATTTTTTTGAACTGGTTCTTAGAATAACTGTTAGTTTCGATCCCTGGTATTATTAGATACATTGAGGTGCCACTTATGGATTGTCATTTTTAAATAAAATTTACGTTCCATGACAAAGTATTTTTCCTACGCTATTTTTGATCACAATATATAGAAGATAAAAATGAACTCTGCAAAGTACGATAACTCGATACTTAGTGGTTCAGATGGGAATATTGGAGCAGTTCACGGCGACACAATAATTCGAACGTCAATCTGTACCCCGAAAGGGGATCTGGATTTGGACGCGAACCGCGATGAAATCTATTTCTGATATCTAGCAGGATGCAGCCGTATAAATCACCTAGCCAGTTCCATTTCGAGTTTCCAACCACCGACGATATTACGAGTATTTCTCTGTCCGCGTCGCAATTTTCAATTTCCACCGTGTTCATTTTTTTCCTCTTCGTTCGAGTAAAAGTTCGAGTTTACCAAGCTCGAATCGTGATCGCGACTTATACTCGTAATTCGCTGTCTGGCGAGTATTTATTGCACATTTATCGAGAAATTAATGACTAGACGTAACAGTATCCTATCGGGTAGAAGCTTCAGACTTCCTATTGTCTCTCGCACTGTATTTGTACGAGAAAGTTACAGGCATAGCCTCGAGTAACTCGAACATTGAAACTTGCAAATACCATGGACTTGAAATTCACCGAGGATACTGTTGCAGTCTGCGGACGTCGACGGCACCGTAGATCGTATTTCCTGGGCAGAATAATATTTTATTTAGTTTTCATTCAATATTTATTTTGTTATTAGGTCGTTTTTGGATTCTCGAGTATTTCTTAACCAGTTAACTGTAGTGATCTCTTTGCAAAGCGTGCACAGGTATAGTCGTCAAACACAGAGTATGTATAATATGAAATTCGGTTGTAATAAAATGACTTATTTTTTTAATTTTATTACTCACATTTTTTTTACTTAAATAAATTAAATATTTTGCATATGAACGAAAAAAAAAACATGAAAAATCAATTTCTTTAACTTGCTGTTAGAGAATGGTGTTGAGCAAAGCATGGTACGATGCATAATGAATATATGAATCCGCAATTGCTTCTGTGATGACTAATAAAAGACAACGATACATTTACGAAAACTAATTCATAGTATATGCGATATTTTTTATATTCATCTCGTCTTGACCTCCAAACATTTTAAACGTATTAAAATTTACGAATATAATTTAGTTTTCGCCAAAATTACAATTTAAATATCAAATTGTAACAAAATTTTACGCGTGACGGATATAGTCGTCATGACACAAAATTCTGCCACATCTCCATGACGGATATAGTCGTCAAATACACTTAACTGGTTAAAATTGATAGAAACGTTGAAGACACCGTGGATCGTATTTCCTAGGCGGAATAGTATTTTATGCAATATTTAGTTTGTTATTACGTACAGGTTCTGGCCTCTCGAGTGTTTCTTACGAAAATAGATCGAAACGTTACGTTCACTCGGCTTCGATTCTCGCCAACGAGCTCGAAATTGATCTGTTGTCGAAGTATGTTTATTTTGTTATTATCTACAGGTTGTTTTTGGACTCTCGAGTATCTCTAAAAATTGATAAAAACGTTGAAGACACCGTGGATGGTATTTCCTAGGCGGAATAGTATTTTATGCAATATTTAGTTTGTTATTACGTACAGGTTCTGGCCTCTCGAGTGTTTCTTACGAAAATAGATCGAAACGTTACGTTCACTCGGCTTCGATTCTCGCTAACGAGCTTGAAATTTATCTGTCGTCGAAGTATGTTTATTTTGTTATTATCTACAGGTCGTTTTTGGACTCTCGAGTATTTCGTAAAATTGATAAAAACGTTGAAGACACCGAGGATGGTATTTCCTAATCGAAATAATATTTTATTCAATATTTATTTTGTTATTACGTACAGGTTTTAGCCTCTCGAGTGTTTCTTACGAAAATAGATCGAAACGTTACGTTCACTCGGCTTCGATTCTCGCGAATGAGCTCGAAATTGACCTGTCGTCGAAGTATGCGGACCGATAGGCCATAATTTCCGGATTATAGAGTTAACAGAAATTCCCGCGCCAAGCCGCAAATTAATGTGGCGAACCCCCCTCCCGGCGATACGGCCGATACTCCCGATGTACGAATTATCGGGGCAACAACTCAGTTAACGCAGAGTAAGAGAGGCAGAAGAGCCCCTCGATAATTGAACGGCGCGCACAGGTTTCGCCCGGGGATGGTCGCGG